TGTCCAGCCCTAAAAATGATTCAATCTACATTTTCTAGTACCCAACAAATTTAGAACTAAGCACTAAAAGGCAACAGATGAAGGGAGCTATGGACTTCTACGAGAGGAATCAATTTGGCAACTTAGATTGTATAGTTTAACAGATTATCCCAACAAAATAGTTAGTTTTTTTTTTTAACAAAAGGATATGCTTTTATAGGTATGAAATCTATATCTATACTATATATGAGAGTGTGAGTGTAGCGTGAAACTTTTTTTTAACTAAAATTATCCTCTATTTCTCTATTTGGGAAAGGGTATAAAAGTTATTTTATTATAGCTTTAATGTCTATTAAAATGGCCATATTTGTGTATTTAATCCATGTCTAATTGTAAAGGTTGGAAATGTAACTTCAATTATTACTTTCCACCTCATTTAATCCCCTCTCATTAAGTCTTATACTTAAGTTATTAAATCCCATTTTCTCTTATTAAATCCTATATTTTTAAGTTATTTTTCACTTATAAATGCTACTAATTAGATCTATGTCAATATTTTTAACAATATAAATTCATATATTTTAAAGCTGACTCAAAAACAAAACCATTCTTTATCTAAGTGGTGGCTAAGCAATTCAACCATCCGAATCAAATTGATCAACCTATGAAATTATAATTAGGTAATAATATTTTTAAAATAGAAATAAATATAGAAAATTACAAAAAATGTAGACAAAAAGTAGATACATATATGATATTTTTTTAATCAAATTAAAAAAAATAAGTGTAATAAACAATCATTATTTTTATTGATAATGAAAATGAAAACATAATTTAAAACTAACCAAAAATGAAATATAAAAATTAATAATAAATAGTTCAACTTTTGGGTTAAATGTGTTAACCTTTAATTTCATAAATAAATAATAAAATTTAATAAAATATAAAAATGAAAAAATACATAAATTTTGTAAAAAAGAAAAGCATTTAGGCACATGTATAATATCATATATTTATCATACTAAACAAAAAGTAGTTGTAACATATTAGAATTATTTTTACACACAAAATTGCAAAAAAAAATTATAGAAAAAAATTGAATGCATATATAATTGTATATTTTAACTACTATTAAAAATATAAATAAGATTGTGGAACGCTTTGACTTCTAGTTTTCGGGTCAGCAGTTCAACTATCCAATTTGAGTGGGTCAAACCAACAAGATGTAAAATATAATGTATCTTTTTTATTTTGACTACTAGATTATGATTAGGTTAAAGTCCACCACATGGTTTTGAAAACTGGACCAGACTGGAAAAACCATAAATCGATCGGGTAAGCGGTTTTACACCCTATAACTGCTTTTGGCCAAAAACCTTTGATTTGGTCGGCAACCCACTGACCTAAGTACTCAAATCGTCGACCTGTACAACAATATTGGTCTTTTTTTATTTTTTGTTTTTTGAATCATAATGGGCTGTCCATTTGAACCGAATGGTCAGATTGTTTGACTCATGAATTAGTCCCCAAAATGGTTCTCTGTTCAGTCCAGTTTTAAAAACCTTGGTCCATCGTATATATACATTATTATGAAAGGGGAGTGTGAAACTTTGAGAATGAGGTGGATGGTTAAAGCCGATAATGAGAAAGAAGAAGAAGAAGAAGACGAAAAAGAAGAAAGAACCACCACGAGTGGCTATCTCCATGTTCATCACCACTACCGCTACAACACCATTTACCCTCTTACATCTCTCTCATCTCTTTAAATATCTCTCAAATCATATACCATTTGCTTCATTTGTATCTTAGATTTCTAATATAAGATTGGTGTTTAATCTCTCATCTCTTGCATTGATTTTTCGATTTCTTCATTGGAGTTGTATTTTTTTTTGTTGTTACAACTTAAAAAGAAGGGCCCTAAAAAGAATCACATAAATGAGAAAACTCAAAATCAAAATGAAAAAACTAAAAACCCTAGCTAATTTTGGCCATTTGGAAAACCGAACAAAATTATGAGATGTGAAGGTTTATTTATTCAAATTTTTATTTTCTATTTTCTATTTTAAAATAAATAAAAGTTTTGGAATTAGTTTGAAAGCAACCTAAGAACCGTTAACAAAGTCAAACATTTTAATGGTTAAATTGCTTGAGTCAACGATTCTTTGACAATTTCAACGGTTTTTTGTAAAATAACGGTTCAGGGCCAAAACGAAACCAGTGACCTGACCAATTCCTAGGCCAAACTATCCAACCATCCGGTCTGCTTCAGTTTTTAAAACAGCGAGTAAAATACTCATTTTTTAATTTATTCCCTATTTAATTATGTAAGATTTAAATTATAAATTGAACTACTGCTTTTCACCTCATTCAATTCTCTCTATTTAAATGTTACATTTTTTTTGATAAATAGACAAAAGAAAAAAGATGCACCAAAAAGATAAAACACTACAAAAGAAGAGTCTAGCCAAGCATGTAGCTTTGTCAATAATACTTGAAAACTTTACAATCCAATCTCATTATCACATATTTGGATGAGGTATTTATGTAATCAGATTTGGACTTTGCAATCTGCTTCTGATTGATAATAAAAAACAAAATAATATATATATATATATATAATATAAACAAAAAAAATAAAAAGTACATAAAGTTTATAAAAAAATTGGATATATTATTACTCTAATTATCATCATATATAATTGTCACATGCACACTTACTAGTAAATATAAAAAATTTCAAATAATCAAATAAACCATGGAGGTCTTAGGTTTAGAGTGAAATCGATTGCTTTTGTTTCCTCCCATTTCACTTTTACCAAGTGGAAGTTGAGAAGACTCTACCATGTTTGATCCCCTCTACCCCAAGATAACCCAAAGTGAATCGTGATGCCTGCTTTGAAGTGTCCACCCATATGGCAGGTTTAGGTTTGTCCCTCGATATAGCGTTGGAACTTGTCCCTTAACTATTGGAGCCTCCATGAAAGTGTGATTAAGTTAAAATGGCAAAGTTAATAACTATGATGCCAAGGATTGTAGCTATGTGCAATTAGAGTATGACCATGGTGGAAATTGAATTTGACTCGGTAAAATGTATTCACAACATATCTGGTTCAAGGGAAGATTTTGGTGGGATGGGAAAGGATGGTACAAAAAATGGAAAATGGGTGGAAAATTTTCATGTTCCATAGTTTGGTTGAAAAGAGGGAAATAGTGCGAAAATCAAACCCAAGAACAATTATTAATTAATTAGGTAGGTAATTAGAAATATTTCTATTATTTTGTATTGTATTGTTAATTTATTATTAATATTTTATTAATTAATTTTATAATTAAGTATTCATTAAGAAATGAATGCATGTCTTAATTAATAATTTTAACATAAATGATTTTTAATTGATTAGTATTTTTATGAATTGTATATTTTAATTTTTTATTAATTAATTTTAAACCAATTATTTTGTTAATATGTTATCAAACAATTAATACTTTATTAATGGATCATGGGTCTAATATTAAGTCTTGAAAGGTGCTTTTTATGTTTAACAAATTCCCCCTTCCTCTCCCACTTGTTTCCCACCAAAATGGTGAGATTGCACATCTCGAAAATACCTGTAATTCTATTACCTTTTTCCTGTCATATCATCACATTTCACAAACCAAACATTGGAAATGAAATAATATTCGAAAACGTTTCTTTTTTTTTTTTTATTGTACAATACAGGGATCAAATAATATTGGAAAACATTTTACAAACCAAACATTTCATTTTTTTTACCCTTCTCATACCACAATCCAAACGGGGCCTTAGGCACCTGAGAGGCCTCAAACTACTTCAATCGGGCCGCTTAAACTTCCTAAGGAAATCAGCCCATTCCATGGCCCATACAGTTGCCTAAAATGTAGGAGCTTTTGTACCTCTCATTACTCTTGATCTGAATCCAAAACACCCTTGGATCTGTTCTCATTTGTATGAATCTACGTTCTCATCATTCTGAAATCAGCTAATTTGGCAGGAGGAGAAAGTAAAATTGGAGAATTGATTCCTCCCACCAAACACCACTAGACGTCTTTGTTTTGTCAAAATGGCACCTCTTCAAACCAATTTTCAAACGGAAAGATACAACAATTTCAAAGAATGGAAACCACCTAAAATCAATTTTCAAAGAGATAATAATAAATAAAAAAAGGGGAAAGAAAACAACCAAGAACGCCCATAGATTTTGGTTCTTGTTTCAGCTTTTTACCCCAAACTTCTGTTGTCGCAAAGACCACCAAACAGAGAAGTCGGATCATCCTTTACACGATGAGGATGCCAGCTCGACCCATACTTTTTTTTAATCATTTTAAAGAAAATAAGAGAAATGATAAAATCCAGTTACGACTCTGTGTAGAGAGGTAGAAGCTGTTCCAATGGGCTGATTGAGATTGAGCTAATAAAGCCAACAATGGTAGTTGGTGGCTTAACACTTAACAGTCGGACAAAACACAACGATCCGCACCGTCCCATTTTCCCATTGCCCCGGGTCTGGGTCGGATGACTTCTACAGTCCACTTATGATCTTGGACCCACATAACTTACCACGTGGCAGACATATAACATAGATCATAACTTGCCACTTGTTCCATCTATCTACCAAATAAAAACTCACATTTTGATGATAATTTATCTCGAATGTGGGACCTGATTGCTGGATCTCATAATCCCGATGTACGACACGTGGCAAGTTAGGGCCCTCGGACTAGGCCGCCTGCGAGTCCGAATGAGGTAGTTAACGCCCGGATTCTTGGATGTCAGAGTAATGATAGGACGTGATGAGTTTCACTCCACTACATCTGGTAATGGTTTCTTCAACAGTTAGTTAGAACCGTCTACACTTGATCAATTAACGAAAACAAAGTATTCCAATCTAACGGTATACTTTGAGTAGGTAAGCTTACCTCTATGCTTCTCGGTGTATCTTATTAGTCTGACAGCGACTCAATAGCTTCCGCTCCGATATAATTGTTGGTTACTTGTTTTCGTAGGAACTCTCAGAAGTCTCAAGAGTCGGGATAAGCTTGCATTTTCAGCTGCAACTCAATTAATAATTAATAGATCAGGCTTCTCAGTTGGATCAGCTTTTCTTCTGTTCTTGTTGTCTATATATACATAGAGAGAGATCCCGAAAGCTTTACTGGAGTTACGGTTATTGTGTTTTTGAGGCTGGTTTTTTTGGGGGATCGAAATGGCGGATGAGATTGACGGATTGGGGTTTGAGCAGCAGCACGGGAAGTCGAAGGTTAGGGTTGGGAGGGTCTGGAGGAAGGAAGATGGGCGTCATTTCTTCGTTGAGTGGAATGTCAACATAAGCCTCCTCTCCGATTGCATGCCTGCGTATGTTCGCGGAGACAATTCTGATATCGTCGCCACCGATACCATGAAGAACACAGTAATAATTCTCTCGTATCCTTTTTTATGTTTCTGTTAATGGATGCGTAATTCATTAAGTTTCTGAATCAGAATAGTAGAAAATTCAGAATTGCATGCAAGAGAACTCCCTTGAAGATGGAAAAACCTTCTATATCTGCAAGTATTAACTAGTTGCAGTAATAGTCTCTATGTATTTAAATGAGATTGTATTATGTTGATTGGTAAAATGAAGAGAAAATATTGTATAAGGCTTCTATGGTTCCATATTTAGAATGGATTTCACTGTCTTTAGCCCAATTAGTTGGTAATAAGGGGTGTTTGTATAGCATTCTAGAATTTGAGTTCTGTTTGCAGTCTAAGGTACATGCATATTTTCTAATTAGTTCCGTAGTCTAGTTCGATGTTGTATTCAAATCATCATCATCGTCGTTGTCGTCCATGCCTTATCCCAACTATATGAAATCGGCTATATGGCTTTGTTTCACCAATCCATTCTATTTAAAGCCATATCCACTGTTAAATTTTTAGTGCTTAAATAATTTCTTACTGTCCTTTTTGGTCTACCCTGAGCTCTTCTAGCCCCTTCAACGTGTAACAAAATCACTTCTTCTAATTGATGCAGTTGGTGGTCTTCTATGCACATGCCCAAACCATCTTAGTCTACTCTCTCTCATTTTATCACCTAGCTACTCCTAGGTTTATATGGGATAACTTCATTCCTGATCCTATCATTTCTAGTTTTTCCATTCATCCATCTTAGCATCCGCATTTCTGCCACATTTGTTTTCTGGACATGTTGTTTCTTGACTTCCCAACACTCTGCTCCATACAACATAGCTGGCCTTACAACTGTTTTATAGAATTTTCCTTTTAATCTAAGTGGTATTCGCCTATCACATAAAAGTCCAAATGCACCCCTCCATTTTGCCCATCATGCTCTATCATTCTCTAATTCTTTGAGCAACATCCTCCTCGATCTCTCCTTTGTTATGGATTATTGAACCAAGGTACCAAAAATGGTCACATTGAGTTATCTCTTGGTGTCCAATCCTAAGTGTATCTTGATTCACACTCATATTATTACTAAATTTACATATATAGTTTGTTTAGTCCTACTTATTTTAAAACCTCTTGTTTCTAAGGCATTTGCCCGTAAGCTTAATTTTGCATTTAATCCTTCATTAGTTTCATCAATTAAAACGGTATCATCCGCAAACAACATACACCATGGAATTTATCAAAACAAACAAACATGCACCATGAAACTTCCCCTTGAATATGTTTATTCAATTCATCTATGATTAGAGCAAATAGTTAAGGTTAAGTATTGATCCTTCATGAAGATCCATAGTAGGATCATGGGTTTATATTTTGTATTCAAATCTACAACCTTATTCTAGGATCATGAGTTGGTGGGTTTTGGCAGAATGATCAGAATCACAATGATTCAGATTTTGCAGCTTTAGAACATGGTTTAAATATATTTCAGGCACCTCCTAAGGCAGTTGATAATTTGAATTTAGCTTTCCTTCATTTCCTAAAGGGGGGCATTGTAAAATCTGGGGTTGAAAAGAGTGACAATTCAGACTCAAGTCTGAGAGCAGAAGAAAAGGAAAAACAAAGAAAAAAGAAAAGAAAATCCAAAGATGAGGTCCATATCCAGCCCACTCCTCACATCAAAGGGTAGTCCATGTCAGATTATGAAGGAAATTTCTGAACAAAAAACAGAGGCAAAACACTCAAACAGAGTTACAGACCTATAACCCAACATGAACTCCCAAGTCTCCGTGTTTTGCCATGGCCTATATTGGTTTATGGCCCTTTTTTCCTTAAAATACTTTTATCACTAACTGTAGGCTCATTGGAAAATAGTTTTCTGTTTAGGCCGGATTTGGTTGCAGTAAAATGAAGGAATTATTCGCAAAATGACATGTAATAGGAAAAAAAATCATATTCCTAATTTTCCTAGCATTTCACTTAACTTGGAAAATAAACCTGAATAATTAGGAGAAATATATGGGTTTTGCAGCATATGAATTGAGAGGACCAACAACTTACAGAAAATTGGAGGGAATGCCATTTTCCTACAAATATTACTCATGTTTTTGGAAAATGTCCATATTCCACAAGCATTTTATGTGAAACTAAACTCCGTAAATTAACATTTTTCAGGAATCATTCATTTTTCTTCATTTTACCTCCAACCAGAGGGAGCCTTTTGAAAGTAAGGGACCTCTTTTTTGTTCCTATTGGAAGTTGTCTTAATTAAATTGGATCAATATGCAGGTATATGTCAAAGCAAAGGAATGTATGGAAGTTCTTTCTGTGGAAGATTTTGCAATTGAACTTGGGCAGCACTTCACATCATTTTATCAGCAGGTATATACCATTCTGACTTCGCAGCTACTGAAAATCTGTCTATCAGTCTCTATACACACAAGCTGCTGTCAAGAAAGGGTGTTCCAGGGTTTAAAACTTTATTGGAATTTCTGGAATTCCAATATTTCTTTACAGCTTCAAGCTCTCTCTCTCTCTCCTCTTTATATATATATATATATAAAATTCTGGTACACAATAGAGAGAGATGACAAGAAATCATAGGCAATTAAAGAGATAAGATAAACATTAGAAGGAGAAAAGAAATAGAAAAAAGACAAAATAGATCATAGTGATAGAAACCCAGTTTGCAAATATTGGGTTTTCCTGGAAATTTGAACTGATTCTTGATTTTGCCCATATTTTGAAAAAAATTCCATTTTGAGAAAGGTTAAAAATGCATCTCAAAAACCAGATATCCTTGTGGTGTTCAAAATAGGCATACCCTGGGAACAGCTTTGTGTTTGCTTAGGAGAATTATGATTGGAACCCTTAAGGTTCCAGTTTCCCTAGTTGTTGCTTTTACTATCAATTATCTGTTCCTTGTTGTGAGCCCCTAATTTTGAGATTTTTTTTTGAACCAATGCAATGTGTTGACCTTGGAAATCTGAAACCAGCCATTTGGGGGGTAGATTTTGAAAATGAGTCACCAACTCAAATAATGTAAGACAATCAATTACATTTAGGCAATTTGGAGTCATAAGTTGACATGGGTTGGCCTACTTCAGTGTTTGGCATTAAGGGTCTGAGACTGGATCCCTTTCCTAGTTAATGTCCAGTCCTGGTGTAATACCATATTCTTTTTATTCTTTCATGTTCTATTTATCTGAAATAAGGTCCTGACTTTCTAGTTTTGAAACTCCGGTTCACTGATAAGAGCTCCTCTTCCATTCCTTGAATAAGAGTAAGGTGATGTTTGGAAGTTTGAAATATTACTACTTATGTGTTAAACTAATTAGATAAACATTCTTTTACATTTGAGTACACCTCTTATTAGACCACTAGATCTGAAGCTTTGCTCTAATTAATATGACTGAATCAACATTTATCACTTATTAATTATGTGTGTATGTGCAAACCCCCCCTCCCCCCAAAATCAACAACTCCAACATGATAATCTAATCAGACTCCAGGCACATTGTTCTGAGATAAAAATAAGGACTTATCGCAATAAGAACTAATCAGACTTCCAAACACTAAGATTCTAAGGAAATCCTTTTTCTTCTCTTTTTTTTGTTTCCTTATTTATAGTATTTCTCCATCTTACTGAGAACCATGGTATGGTGGAGTAAAAGTGGCATGTATATTTCGTGGATGGATGATCAATTTTTATTTCTTCTTTTCTAGATTTAGAACTCTTAATGAAGTATTCAAGTTATTAATGGCTCTTATTGAAGTTGTTCACTGTATTGGGGACCTTGAGGTTCCACAGAAGCAGTAAAATGTAGATGAGTATTCCATGTTATAGTTGTTTGAGGAGCCACCTGTTCTTAACTGGAGCAAGTTGGAGGGAACCAATTTCATGCCAGAAGTCATGCCCAAAGAATCCAAGGAGGATGAGGACAAGGATCATTTGGGCCTCATTCAAATGAAACACCCTTACGTCTTTGCTACAATGTTTTCTATACATCCTCATCAATTCATGATTTCTGAATTCTGCCACCCTACTTTACTTCTTGTTTGGATATGCATGATTTAAGGAACCAGATGTAGAAGGCATGTTTAGAGGTTGAAAATTTATTATGGAGTCCTGAGAGTGCCCCCTTCTGTCCTGTCATAGCTGTTTTCAATTTGATATACCCTGACAAATTTCAATATGAATGATGATTGGAAGAACAACCAATACTATTTTTAGCCTCTATGGTGATATTTAATATTTATTTAAATTTAAAAGATACATGTTATCAGTATTTATTTGATGTTGATGCAAACTGTCTCATAGATTTTCTGTTTAAATTTTAGCATTACAAGGAAAACTTGTAAAGGTTGGTTGAAATAGGAGATAGTGCTTATCTTGTTGTCCTATTTGTTGGACTAAATGGTCTTTTATATTTCTGGTTTTCAGCTTGTAATCTTACATATTTAAGGAAGGTTAATCCTTGTTTTGGTATGCAGGTAACAACTGCTATAATCAAAATAGTTGAAAAGCCATGGGAACGCGTATATATTGATGGTCAACCACATGAACATGGTTTGTAAATTCATTTTTTTTCCTAGGAAACAATAAGAAGAGCACAGTTTTTTTTTTTTTTTTTTTACTTTGATTCTCAAATATAATGTACCCTCCTGTAAGCCTATCATTTTTTGGGTTCTTTATCCAGAAGAGAATTTTTTTTTTTTTTTTTTTACTTTGATTCTCAAATATAATGTACCCTCCTGTAAGCCTATCATTTTTTGGGTTCTTTATCCAGAAGAGAAGAAGGAAGAAAGGAAGAGAGAAGAAAGAAAGAGATTTGGAGTCACAAAAAAGATGCTGGCAGTGCCAGCTTTTTATTATTTATACTAGGGTGACACAACTTAAAATAAAAGGTGCTGAACGTACCAAAGTACCCCTGCGGTACTAAACTTACAGAATAATAACCTTTCAACATTAAGCAATGCCATACCAGGGATCTTAGGCATGGTGACCATACTGCATGATAATTCAAGTTGGTCACATATTAAGCATCAATACAAAGCTCATTTGAGCATCACCTTTGTTGTGATATCCCACTTACCAAGAATGAGTATCCATGTGTATATTGGATGCTCCAAGGTTCTTTGAGCCTTTGTCAAATCCATTCCAGGCCACTCAATGATCATCCTAAGGGTTAAAGTCTTCACTAGATGCATTTCATGGACTAGTCAAATAATTCAACCTTGAAAATATATGATGTGGGGTCTTCGATGGCTTTGAACTTGTGATGTTGAAATTTAAGGGCAGCCACTTGTCTCATTGATTACATGGTTTGCCATCTTTCAGTATGCACTTTATTATGATCGTGCCTTGAGGGCAATGCAATTCTTAGCTGAAAACAATTGATTTTTTAGGTTGCCAATAAAGAAAAACAAATCATGAATCATAATATGCAATTATAAAATATATATTTATAGAGTAGTTAATTTTAGATAGTTTGCTTGGTACTACTCTTTAGATATTTCTTTGCTAACCACAGTCTTATCTAGTTATATTGAGAAACTATCTCTTTCCCAGAATATGTAAGCACTTATTTCCTGGATTATAGGGTTTAAACTTGGATCTGAAAGACATACAACTGAAGTTACAGTAAAGAAGTCTGGTGCTTTACGAGTGACTTCCGGAATTGAAGGATTGGCGGTACTAAAAACAACCAAGGTAGGTTCCTCCTCCATTAAGTGGGTTCCTCTTTCAATGGAGGCAATTCATATTGTTTCAAGTATATAAGATATTTATATCAAGCTCTTGTTGCTAAAATTTCTAACATTGTATTGGATAAAGCAGTGATTATACATTTATACTATACCTTTCTCTTGCATGATATACTCCAATTGCATATAAAAATATGCTTACCAAAAAAAGAAAGAAATTGCATATAGAAAGACTGTAGGTTTTCAGTTGGTGCTTGATTCTATGTATTAAAATAAATGCATCCAGATAATTTGAAATGTAGAAATGAGATAAACTTCTATTGTACTTTGTTTGAGACCTTAATGAAGAGTTGTTACAACCCTGAAGGGTCATTACTCAATCACATGTTACAGGCATGCAATATCAATAGAAATATGGGAGTCATTGACATAAGAATAGGTTTTGGGGTTATTGAACATAAAACCAGTATTTTGTTGTATTTCTTTTCATGATGGGGCAATCCTAAATTCATTTTACAAATTAAAATCGCATGTAATTGTAATAAAAGATTTCATGAAAAGTATAAGTCTAGTCATTTTTCCCTCCTTTTTGGGCTTTAAAGCTATCATTTGATATCTTCAATGACTTGCTATCATTTGATATGGAAACCTATGGTTTGAAATGAATGGACATTAGGATAAGGTGTTAAGCATAATTATTCAACATTTGCTTTTTAGAAGCAAAGGGTTTTATAGGTGTTCCTACTTAATGGAACGATGATGAAGCCAGGAATCTTCAATTGCGACAGATTAACTGCATTAGTTGTGGTCCAAAAGATATCTGCATCTAAACCTCTTCATTCTTCAACCCTTTACATATGTGATTGTTGAAATAGTATCTTCTTCCCCCCTTTTCTATTTGTGAAAGGAGATAGAATTTCCTGGCTGTTTTCAGAGGAAAATGTAACATACAGGATAGGGTTTATATTAGGGAATGGCACTGCATACCTGGACAAATCCAGTTTCCATATTCTGACACATGGWCTAGATTGGTCAGACACCACCTCTCTGTGGCTATTAAGTTTTTGGACTGTTCTTTAGAAAATTCCTGGAGGGCCCATCTAGGAGATCTTGTCCCTGTTGTAATACAAGTGTTTGTCATTTTCTTTTATTTCTTGTATTTTTCACATAATATTTTCCAAATTGCTCGTTTTACAAGTTCAAATATTGTATGATATTTGTTGCCCTCCATACATTGAAGCAAGAACCTTAGTCCATGTCAGCTTACATTCTGCTTTGYTTAGTTTTATCTMATCTTTTTCACTGGTTTCTCATGTCATTGTTTCTTTTATTTAACAGTCAGGTTTTGAAGGATTTGTTAGGGACAAATACACAACTCTTCCAGAATCAAATGAGAGAATGCTGGCAACAGAAGTCRGTGCTTTGTGGAGGTATGGATTAACTATTTCATGAGAAGCTTAAGGGGTTAAAAATGTTTTGGATAGACAAAAAATAAATTGAATGTTTGTATAATTGTACTGTTTATCAGTTTTTGATAAAAAAGGTTCATTGTCTACGAAAATGTCAGTATTTGTTCTCACAGTGCTGTTTATTTCACCTGATTGACTAGCCTGAGATACACGTGCCACATAATTTTTTTCCCTGGAAACCAAGCAGATCTCTAACCCTTGGAGATGGTGGTTCACCCTTAGTGGTTCAACCATTTGATATGTGTCTCATCTTGTCATGTCATCACGTCATCAATTTGGAAGATGAAAAACAGGTGAAATGGAAAGAATCTGACAACAATTAATCATCTAATCCACCATATATCCATTTATTTCATAAAAATAGAGAAAAAACTTTAACAAAAAAAKATATAACTTTGTTATTTGTCTCCCCTCTGTTAGGTAGTTGACTTTCCAAATTATTTGTTGATAGAGTTTTTCTTTTCTTTTCTTTCTGATTGGGTTCATAGTATCKGAATCCCACCTTTTCTCCTTTCCCTTCTTATACAAATAAAGACATTTTCTTAATTGGTAAACAAGGTCAATAACATTTGTTAGTATAGTTAATAAGTTAATAACTAAGTACAAAGGGAGCAAGATAAAAGAAGATACAAACAGAAGAAATAACAAAGAAACACCCTAAGGCTGTCATGCTACAGCTTCCCTCTACATCCATATAGAGAGCAAATCTCCCTAATGAAGTGGTTCAATATTCCAATGCAACTACCTCCTATCCACCCCTTTTCTAGTCAAAGATCACTAGAACATGAGAATATCTCCTAATCCAACTGAACAATGCGTTCCCTCTGACTGCTAAAAATATARCTTCTTTAATATAGTATATCATTGGATCCTTAGTTCATCTCTTCCATCCCTAAACCAACTCACTACTCTCCAAGAATCACWTCTCCAATCTCAGATACCCAAGGGCAGCATCAATAAAGAGACCTGATATAGGACAGGTTGGGGGGTCCTACAACACTCAGATCTGGTGGTGGGCTTCAGAATGCCAAAGTTGGGTCACTAATGGTAATAATAAGATGGAGAAGCAAGTAAACAGCTTGATTTCCTTCAAAAAATGACTAAGGGATTAGAAATAAAGAGCAAAACTCTTGCCGTGAGAGTAAACATCAAAGAGATGTCACCAAGGAGAAAAAATAAGTTGGAGAAAAAAGAAAAGTATCTAGCTCCAAGCAGAATTTACTAAACCAAATTTTTAATCTTTAAATAAATCTTTTAATTTGCAATTGCAATGACTCTATTTATGGAAGGCTTGGGTCTCCCTTTACAACTTCCAAACTCGGATAGGAAACAGACTCAAAACAGTTTCTGATTACTTCAAAATTAAGTCAAACCTATAGGTAGGGGCACTTCAATAAGGAAATTTTTAAGTCATAAAACTTTACTAATCCTACTACAAGTAAAGAAACCAAAAACAACTTTAGGAAAGACAAAAAAATAGAAATACTCAAATCTCRTCAGATTGACACCCTATCAGTAAAATAGCCATAGCTCACTCAAAACATGTTGGATTTACACGATCTTGGTCTTTTTGGATATATAAATCAATAACCYTTATAATAAACACATTAACACCAAAATCATGAAAAGTGAACAATTTTTCACCCTCAAAAATAAGATAAAAGAAAAGTGGCRTGATTTCATCTTTAACTCTTAAAAATTCTAAAAGCTGTCTAAAAAATACACTTAAATTACATGACTCACTAAGGTGACCTACCCTATTATTAAGACACTAACAAATTAAAAAATAACTCCTGAATACTCAAACTAACAAAACTCAAATAACCCCAAACCTCTGAAATTGCCGTTRGTGCAACAATTTGAAGAAACTTCCTATCCTATCAGGCCTTTTTATTGAAAGTATAAGGTAAAGTATTTCATTTAAAAAAAAGGGCTAAAATACAATTAAGTCTCTATGCAATGAGAAGCTGTACAGAGATAAACCATCAACCCAATACACCCATCCCTCAAAATAACTAAAAAYTCCTTACAAAAAGGAAGTCTGAATCAAAAAAGGAAGAAATATGTYTATTTCTAAATAAAGGATGTATTGCCAACCAAGAGCAAACCATCCCCATAATCCTGTTCAGAACTTCTTCCTTTGAAGAGTGCTTTCTTTCGAAAATAAACCTCTAATATCTCACCTCATGATTCCTAAAAACTCCTCATACACTTGAAACCCAGATTCCATCAAACTTGAGCTTGATGGAGSCATAATAAGGGGGAGTCCAATCCTGTACAAGATTGTCTTTCAAAGTAAAAGAAAATGCAAGAGCCAACCAGCCTCTACAATATCATTGTTAATAAAATTCYAAAACTTCTCTCTAATATGAACCCAATGAACCACTCTGATGGTGATAAGATCAATGAAAATACTTTGATCTTTCTTCTTATCAAAGAAGACCTTAGGGTTCCCAAATCATCCATAAGAATGCTGCCCTTAGATTTACACAAAGAAAGGGAAAAAAGAACTCCTAGCAGAACTGTGCAAATCCAATGAACAAAGCCCAAGGATATCCTAAAATTAACAAAAAATGCATATAAATTATGAGTGAAATCCTCACTTTCCAACCACAGAAGAAGGCAATAAGGGTTCTAAGACGAACTTGAAGCAAATAAAAAAACTTGCTTATACAGGGAGCTGCTCACAGAGTCATTGGTGTTAAAGTCACAAGACAAATCATCCCAAATTTTATTTAGTCATAGCATAAATCTCTATCCAAAATGAAGACAAGCTTTGACAATTTATAATGGCAACAAAAGAGGGAAATAAGAAAGGTTTGGCAGGTCTTTGAACATGTATGGCTGATTGCAATCAAATGCAAGCTGACAGCCACTGGCAGCAGTACAAACAAGAAAAAAGAAGGGTGGATGGACGACTGTCTGTTCTGAACCAATTTAGAATATTGACAATGGGGCATGCTGGGTCTTGTTTCACACTATTTTACTTCTCTCAAGGAATAACATTCTCATTTGTAGCTCATTACTTGCAGTTACCCTTTTGAATCTCTCTCTAGTGTTCCAACAAAGCCTCTGTACTTCACTGAGAGGTACCTGGATGTGAAGAAAGTATTGCTCAGCATATTCTTTGGTCCTGCAAAAGAGGGAGTATACAGCCCATCCGTTCAAAGAACCCTTTATGACATGGCTAGGACTGTTCTCAACAGGTCTCTTCCCCACCCCACCCCACCCCCCATGCACACACACATAAGCATGAATAAATGTATACACGGTTTCATGTAAGATTCTTTAGGGTTTGAATGTTATGGTCATTTTTGATTGATTCTTGATTATCTTGCTTTCAGGTTTCCAGATATATCATCTATCAAACTAAGAATGCCAAATCTTCATTTCTTACCAGTTAATATATCAAGCAAGGATAATCCAAGCATTGTTAAGGTACAACTTTATCTGTTTGAGATCTGATTTGTAAAACTAACAGAAACCTAAAATGAACTAAATGATTTAATCAAATGATCTATTAATAAGCAAATGTATATGTATTTGGATCCTCTAGACTGTTGACCAGAGTAACATACTCTGGCTCATCCTTGTAAAGCAGACACTTGCACTTGATAGGCATTCTTTTGTAATTTCACAACAGTAATCCGCAATTTGTGCATTTAGATATACCTCCACTTGACAAGGGTAGACCGAAGTATGTTACCCTAGTCAATGGTCCCAGGGATCCATTCTCAATGTAAATGGCACCACGTTGATTTCATGATGGACACAAGTAGGTAGAGAAAATAAAAATCTTGGAAGATCTGATGGGAATTTACCAATTTTCTATCATTATTTTTCCCAGATGCTTCAAATTGGATAACTTTATTGTTTCCAGTACTTCAGTTTAAAGTGTCAATGCTGGATCATCATGTATTCATTCCATTGGGCAAAATGCACAGACAACACAATAGTAAGGACAAAAATATGAATCAAGGATCTGGCTAGAAATATAGTAACAGAAATGGGTATTAATTAATAAAGATGAGTGTCATAAAATATACCTAATCATGGGGAGAATTTTGGGTATATAAGTTAGAAAACCATGCTTAGGAAATATTGAAGGGTGCAACTATTCCAATCTAAGAAATCCAGATTTGGGGAAATTTAGGAAGGGGAGAAAAAAATTCCTCTATGTTGGATTTTCCTTAGATTACTATTGGTACTGATAATTTTTGTTTTTGTTGCAGTTTGATGATGATGTTTATAGACCAACAGATGAACCGCATGGAACAATTGAAGCAAGTTTGAGCCGCTCCTGGTCCAGGATGTAGAAGCTAGTATGAGTAGTATCATTGGCTTGTGCTATAACAAGCCTGATACCTGCTCATATCTGTGTATTTACTTCAGTTACAAAACCCACCACCCCTTCTCTTCAGTAAATTCTGTTTCCAGCTTATCAGCTAGGACTTCATTTATTCTTACACTGCAAACCTGACTTTGTATAAAGACTCAAGAAGATGAGGGTACTTAATAAAGGTGGAGCTTTTATGTGAATGTGGGAGGATTATGCTTCTGTTCTGATTAAATTTCTCTTAATTTACTTAATGTGATTAAAAATCAAGTAACCCATCAGATAGCAATTAGCCGGTCAACTAACACTAAGGATTTGCATTTCAGTGAGCTCTTTTCACTATCACAGCCTGCATATCTCTTGCATGACCATATTGATTGGGATTGGGGACTTAAAAGATTTTCTTTCTAGGGACCTTTGGGAGTTTGGTGGCAACAAAATTATTCTTGGTTTGGGCTCTTTGCTGCATCTTTTGTTGAACAGGTGGTAAGATCAGATAAGATTAGGCACCAACAATAATGAGAGTAGAGATATAACCCCAAATATTGCTTTTAAGAGTGGTTTTTCATTGCTGAATGGAAGGTGGTATAGTATCACCATTCTGCCAAAGGAAGCCATTGAGCCCATGTTTGTGGATGGTTGCTGGCAAAACATTGTAAATAGTTCTCCAAGGTTGAATGTTGACTATTGAGGACTTTCATTTGCCCATTTGTCTGGGGTGATGGGCCAAATTCATCTTGAGTATGGTACCCTGTAATTTAAAACAGTTTCTTCTAGAAATTACTTAGGAATACTGAATCTCGATCACAAACATTGCTGGCCGCCATGAAATTTGAAAAGTCCCTCCAACAAATGCTTGAGCTGGGATGAAAAAGTGGTAGGAACTAGAAACTGACTATTTTGACAACTCTACTACAAGCTTGGACCTCCTACCCACTAACTCTTCCCGCATCCCTACCCACAAGACATTATCGCTGTGTATTGGGAACAAGGGAGATACTCCCAATACATGTTCGTGGGCAAAGAAGTGTGTTTAGGAAACTGGACCAGACCAATTGGTCGGACCGGTTGAACTATGACCTGGTATTCTATCTGGTTTGGTCATACCCTATAAACTAGAACAGGTAAAAAAACTACCCAAAATCGGTTAACTGGGTGATTAAACAAAAAATACTAGTGAACCGGTCCCGGTTTCCTAAAATGCCTAGGTCTCAAATGTGTGGATTTTCAAAATGCAAATGGCAAGATTAAAATCCATTACTTTTTTCCCATGTGTAGTCTTGTTACCTTTAATCCACTTCATTATTTGTGTTTATTTATGAATTTTTAATGTATATATTGCATTAAGAACATGTATTTCAAAGAAAATGCAAGTTAGGGAGATTTGAACCTTGGTTAATTACTTTAAGAAGTAATTGAACTAACCATCTATCAACTACATGCAAATATAATATTACCTATATAATATATTATTTATAGTATTTAAATATCTTGTGGTATATGTATGTATATGCCATGTAATCACGGTTCACCCTCTGATTTTCCATACTTGAACCTCTAACCCGTTAATCTCTCCCCTTTTAGGTTTTATGTCCGGTCCGGTTCTCTTACATTTTGTGGGTAGGAGATCAAGAGTGAGTCTATTACCACCATGATCATTGACTTGGAGAAAAGCACTCCATTTGTGTAATTTATACTTTATAGATATGGATCCAAACTTTGTGACGGCAAGGAGTGGTTGCAATAACCCCGAGAATACCACATTCTCAACTTTGTTTCTTTGCCATACATCCGCACTCCCGCATCCACTCCTTAGCCTCCTTTCTATAATCACATTTTTATGAAATCCATGGCTCTTGATCTTTACATAGTATACACCGAATGTCCTCCTATTGGGGCCAAATATACTGCTCTGGTTAGTAAGGTCCTGCACCTGTGTTGGGTGGTTTATGGGTTTGGGGGATCGGCTACCCTAGCCCTAGGGGTGAGCAAAAATAAACCAGAAAATCGAACCGACCGAAACCAAATTGAAAAATCGGTTAATCAAACTGGTTGGTTTGGTTTCGGTTCGATGTTTTAAAAAAACCGATAGTTTCGGTTAACCATTTAAAAAACCGGCGGTTAACTGAATCGACCGATATATATATATATATACAATAATAGATCTTTATATAATATTATATATTATATATTATATATTATTTTTTATTGTTTTTTGAAAATCTAATAAATGTCGAACTGAGACTTTTTAGTTCGCCTGGCGAACAACCAGACTTTTCAGCCAGACTTTTCCCTTTCCCTTTCTTTCCCTCCCTCTCGACTCTCACTCTCTCAGACTCATTCTTTTCCTCTCTCTCTCAACTCTCACTCTCTCGGACTCAGACTTAGACTCCCACTCTCCTAGAGTCCCAGTCCTAGTTTTCTTATTCGTTCTTCCCCAACGGACCAATGGGCAACGGCCTTCGATGCTCCCAAAATTACTTATGAATCGCAATAACTTTATAGACGGCCTTCGACGCTCCCAAAAATCAACGGATCAACGGGCAACAGCCTTCGGCGCTCCCAACTGCAATAGCTTCAATGGACCAATGGGTGATGGCCTTCGGCGCTCCCAAAAATAAATTTTCTTCTTCGTTCTTCCCCAGTCTCTGAGCTCTTTGTGTTTCTCCCACTCTCCCACTCTCTTAGACTCCCACTCTCCTTGTCTCCGGTTACTTTAAAAAAAAAAATAAAAAAACTGAATCACAGTTAACCGATCCACCGATCTATCGGTTAACCGGTTGCATCGGTTCAGTTTCGATTTGATTAAATGTAAAAACCGAACAAGTCAATTCGATCTAGAAAATCACCCCATGGTTCAGTTAACCGAACCTTGAACACCCCTACCTAGCCCCTTTAAAAAAATTAAAAAAGAATGTAATTGTTCAAACATCCTCCCACAATAAGGAGATAGGTGGGACTCATACTGTATGTTTTTACTAGCAGAATCGATGATATAATTTTAAATAGAACAGATTGACAAAACAGGATTCATGTTGCCGATCTCATATAATTGGGATAAGGCATGGATGAGGGGTCGCGCTACCCCCGTTTTGGGTAGCACCTCCTGGTTTTATAAAAAAAAAAATTGACAAAATCCCATATAATTGGGATAAGGCATGGACGACGATGAAGATGTTGCATTTCACTACAATTTTAAGCTGGATCCCGATCTGACGGTCAAAATTTGGCTCTATAAGGGTGATTATTTCTGGCCTATACATACTAAGGATAAATCTATGATGCCGGAAAGGTACGATACCGGTATTCGAAGTTTGTAGTTTGTAAGCCCAGAGGTCGATCCGGCCCAGAACAGCCCATGGGCCGTGGTCATGCCTCCATTCTCCAAAGTCCAAACGCGCCTTGAGAGGGATTAATCAAGGAGTGGAAGGAATTTTCTGGTAACAAGCAGCATCAATCCGAGGATATTGGCATCAGAACTGAAATTGGAATTGGATCTCTTCACTTTCCTGGTAAGGTTGCTCTGTCTCTCCGCTTACCTTCATCTTCTATCTTCCTTTTGAATACCCTAAACCTTATTACTGATCTACTGCTTCACCTCCTCTTGTGATTTCTTTAAGAATGTAATATAATACAATTTCTACTAACCATCTGATTCCCACCCCCCCAAAAAAAAAATCTGAAAAATACATTGTCATGGATGTCCACAGAAACCCACAATCCAGTCAAAGAAACCACTCTTGGATCTTGAAATTGAAATCGTATGCATTCTGGGTATCAGCTATTTTGGTTATTCTTCTATCTCTCTCTTTCAGTTTCACCAAAACAAACCATTTCAAGCTCCGGTATCTGAAATTAACTCTTTCATCCCACCCTCTAAACCCCACCCCGATACTCAGACGTTTCGGGTTTCTTCCTTCAGACCAGCATGCCAGAGAGAAACCAAAATCCAATGCCATGCTCCCTTACTGCGTTTTATGGATGGCTCCCTTCCTTTCTGGAGGTGGGTACAGCTCAGAAGCTTGGGCTTATATCACTGCTCTGCACGAAAACATGAAAGACCCTATATTCAGATTGGGGATTGACCAACATGGGGATTTGGAAAGTCTTGAATTCTGGGATGGTTTGCCAAATGATCTTAAAAGTCTAGCTTATGAGCTTTACAATACAAAATGTAGAATGAATGAGACGATCGTGATTTGTCATAGTGAGCCAGGAGCTTGGCATCCTCCTCTTTTTGAGACTTTACCTTGTCCGCCCACTGGTTACAAGGAACCAATGTTCGTTATTGGTCGGACCATGTTTGAAAGTGATAGGGTCAACCCAGACCATGTCAAGCGGTGTAACAGAATGGATTCTGTTTGGGTTCCTACCGACTTCCATGTCTCTTCATTTATTCAAAGTGGGGTTGAATCCTCGAAGGTAGTAAAGATGGTCCAACCCGTTGATGTGAAGTTCTTCGATCCTTCAAAGTATGAGCCATTGCTTGCTTACAGAGGAGAGCTTATTCCAGGCTCAAGTTCAGATTTACCTCAAAAGAACAAGGATTTTGTTTTTCTCAGTATTTTTAAGTGGGAGTACAGGAAAGGATGGGATGTCTTATTGAGATCATACTTGAAGGAGTTCTCTCGGAGGGATGGTGTTGCTTTGTACCTTCTAACAAATCCTTACCATTCTGATAGGAATTTTGGGAATAAGATTTTGGATTTCGTAGAAAATTCTGGTATTGAGGAACCAGCTGGTGGGTGGGCTGCAGTTTATTTGATCGATTCACACATACCTCAGATGGATCTCCCTAGAGTCTATATGGCTGCTGATGCATTTGTTCTCCCATCAAGGGGAGAAGGATGGGGTCGGCCAATTGTGGAGGCCATGGCGATGTCTTTGCCAGTGATCACAACAAATTGGTCTGGCCCAACTGAATATTTGACAGAGAAGAACAGTTATCCATTGCATGTGGACAGAATGAGTGAAGTAACAGAAGGCCCATTCAAGGGTCATCTTTGGGCTGAACCTTCTGTTGATAAGCTTAGAGTTCTAATGAGGCATGTGATGAACAATCCTGAAGAGGCTAGAGAAAAGGGGAGGAAGGCAAGGGAAGACATGATCAGGAGATTCTCTCCTGAGATTGTTGCTGGAATTGTTGTTGATCAGATTCGTGAAGTTTTTGACCAGATGAGTTAGAGACTTGGAGTCTATTTGTTTTCATTGAAGTTGATTTGCAACAGAGATAAGAAAGCAGTAATGAGTTTTTTTTTGTGAGATTGTTACTGGAATTTTTATTGATTAGATGTGTAAGCTTTTAACAGCACGAACTAGAGCCTATTTTTTTTCCATGGAGTTTGGTTTGTGACAGGGAAAAGAAAGCAATGACAAGACGCTTTTAACCAAATGAGTTAAGAGTCTATTTGTTTCCAATGAAGTTTGGTTTGTGACAGGGAAAAGAAAGCAATGACAAGGCTTCATGAAGCTTTTAACCAAATGAGTTAAGAGTGTATTTGTTTCCAATGAAGTTTGATTTGTAACAGGGATAAAAAAGCAGTAATGAGATTCTCTCTTGAGATTGTTGCTGGATATTTATTCATCAGATCTGTAAGGTTTATAACAGCATGAGCTAGAGTCTATTTTTTTTTTCCATGGAGTTTGATTTGTGAAAGGGAAAAGAAAGCAGTAACAAGTCTTCTGTAGGTGGAGAAAATCGATATATATTTTGCATTTTTTGAAATGGAGGTATCTAGATCAGTCTAAAAACAAAAAGAAGAAAAAGGAATAAAAGTTTAAGTTGGAAGATTATTGAAATTTTGAATATTAATTATTTTCAGTCACCAAGTTAATTGAATTATAATTTATAACAGCAGAACTTAGCAAGAAGCCAAGAAGCAGTTGATTACAGGATGGGTGCTGAAAGAAATGCAAAGAAAGGGTGGAAACTTTCAAATATTAGTATTGTAGACCTGTAGAAGTCTGTTCAGTTCATTTTCTTCTTTCCAGTTCTTGTGAAGAACTTACCTTAGGGGTCTTCTCCAACATGAATGTTCTTATTTCTCTTTTTTCTAAAACATGCCACATCTGCAAAAAAATGAAAACATCTTCTTTAATATGTATTTTCTATTTTTTTTTTTCTGAGAACAAAGTGAAAACCAGAATATAAAGAAAAACCATCATCCTCATCATCTGGATTGGCTACATGAATCCTGTTTTTCCATTTAATTCTGTTTAATGCCATATCCATTGTTAAATTATGAGCTCTTAAATCATTTCTTACTACTTTGACCCATGGCCTTTTTGGTATGCCCCTAGCCCTTCTAGCCCCTTGAACTTGTAACAGAATGCTTCTTCTTACAGGTTATGTAGGTGGTTTTATATGCACATGACCATACCATCTTAGTCCACTTCCTCTCATTTTGTCACCCATTGGAGCTACTCTTGTGTTCCTTCGAATAACTTCATTTCTAACTCTATCCTTTCTAGTTTTTCCACTCATCCATCTCAGCATATGTGCGTCTACCAAACTCATTTTTTTGAACATGTTTCTTGACTGCCCAACACTCTGCTCCATATTACATAATTGGCATTGCAACAGTTTTATAGAATTTTCCTATTAATCTAAGTGATATTTGACTATTTGCCTATCACAAAAGACTTCAAATGCACCCCTTCATTTTGGTCATCCTGCCCTAATTCTATGGGAAACATCCTCCTCAATCTTTCCCTTGTTATGAATTGTCGAACCAAAGTACCGGAAAAGGTCAAATTAAATTCTCTAGTCTCCAATCCTAAGTGTACCCTGATTTGCACTCTTATTAATATTAAATTTACATAGCATATATTCTGTTTTAGTATAAATAAAAATAAAATAATAAAATAAAAAAAGATGAGCTAATATCCATTCCATCAGAATTTTTATTTGAATATTGTATGCTTTATGAATCCTAATACCATACCACTTGAGGAAAATATGTTTTTGAAGCAAGAAATTCATGAACATGTTTCTGGTTTAAGTTTTGGAAACAAGTCATACACTAGACAATTAAGATTAAAAAAAAAATCAATGTTTTTGCAAACCAAGTTAGGGACCTCTGTTTTTGGAACTCACCAAATGAAGATTACATTGGAGAACACCCCTTTTATCTTCACTTAGTTGATTTCAACTTATAAACCATAATATTTTTCCTTTTGATCATTTTGTTTCATTCATGCAACTTTGCATCTTACTTCTTGTATCCCTTACCATTTCTTTATGGGATGTAGTCCAAGGCATCTCCATTCATCCCATTGGTGTTCTCACAGGCTGATCTAATTCTTTTTCAAGCATGATATTTTGCTTTCAACTTCCATTTGATCTTCTTTTGTTGGATTTGCCTTAAGTTAAAGAGTGTTTGTAAAGCAATATTGGTGGTGGTTTCTCAATGAAGATCTGTTTTAGGCTTTTAGCTCATGGGTTGCATGGGAGCATATAAAGCCAAGGCTCCTTAAATTTTGTCTTTGGTTTCCCACTAGGAGTTCTCTTAGGAAAATCCAAATGGAAAATGATTATCATGGTGATCCAAGAGGTGCCTTATTGTTCTATGTGGTTTGGACCACTATGGGAAGACAACATAGTTTTCCTACACTTCTCTTATGTTTGAACAAGGATTTTAAGCTGAAGCATGGTGGTTTCCATTTTCCAGACAAATAATTCTGTTGGAGAAATGATATCCTCCATTCTAACAAATCACAATTCGATGATTGGACAATCCTACTCTTTTTCAGATATGCTACCTAGACAAGGAAAACACGCTACTGGACAGGGTGCCAGGTGGAATTTACAAAAAAAAAAAAGAGTTGAAATATCCAAGACATTATGTCATAATTATATGTTTGTACATGTATCCAGGTATCATAGATTTTTGGTGCCAAATGTTGGGAGAAAAGGTCATTGATGGAGACTGAAGTAAGGAGTGGGACAAACCTTCTAGTTGACTGTTATTCTAATCCTTAAGTGGCTTTTTATCTACCAAAGCACTTGATATTAATGGTGTGAAACTGAAATATGATTTGTTGGTTCCAAATATTGTATTTACCTTGCATACCACCATAGAAGGCGATAGAAAGAGGAAGTCATGGAAGTAAGAGATATGAGAGGCTGATGTTCCAAAGAAAAGCTGCACAGCTCCATGAAGTGCTCCATAGATATGCAAAACAGCTAAGATAATATGTTATGGTTGTTTATCACATGCCGAATAGGCTAATCCCTGTTATAATTCTGGTAAAATGGTAATGCATGCAGTCAATCCCAAGGTAGTATATAATTAATTATTATGAAAATATTTGAATGCTCCTCACAAAGCTACACTTGGCACATCAACAATAAAATATAAATATGAAGCATGCAATTGAATTTGTATCAGTATTGCTAGTATACTTATGCTTTTTTTTTCTACCATGCCAATTTATATGACATCACAAAGTTGTATTGTGTCACTACTCACTATCAATAGATAGATATATCCCACTTATCCTTCTTTTATTTTTCTTTTATGATTTAATTGCCTACAAATCCTTTTAATTTGAAAAGATTGAAAGTCATGTTATTTGAACCATGTTAACATAACTAACCAAATAACTGAATAAGTATTCTCTATTGTGTATTGATAATTGTGGGCATCAAAATGCCATTAGAATATTGTAATGGAGTAATTATTTTCTGAAGCCATAAAAAAGAAAGTGAAAATGAGAATGTGATTAAATAACAACAACAATAGGAGAGATGGTTAGCAGGGACAAGTAGTTGATTACAGGGTGATTGCTCCAACAAAATGCAAATGGTCAAGAGATCAGAAGTTCAAGAAGCAGTTTCTCTTCTGCCCTAAGGGCTTTTATAGGGACACACATTAGGTCGGGCATACCCGCCACTGGGCTCCTGCCATAGCCGTTACCTGCCAGGGCTGCGCAGGTGGCCGTTGTGGCGTACGCCTCGCCTGGGTGAGTGACACGTTTCCAAAGTGGCAGGCACGCCTTTGCCTGCTGAGAGACGTGGACACAGACTGTCGAAAGGACTGGGACTGCATCGTCAGTAGAGGATATGGCGCAGTCTGACCAGTACGGTTTGTCAGTCGAAATCTTCCTGAAGAGCGCTAGTGCGGCTCGTTCGCGAGCTATTTTGTGGCGAGCTTGAAACACTCCAGGATTACCCTTAGTGGAATTGTTCCTTGGAATGACTTGTCTGCTAGGGAGCTCGGGCGAGCTAATAACTTTAGCTCGCGAGCTACAGTTGCCTCGGAGTATCTCTTCAAAGATAGCACGGGGAACCCGGAGTTCGCGTCGCGGCGGACTCCTC